AAACGAGTGTGAACTTTAAGTCGTCTCATGCTGCTAATCCCACTCCATCACAGAAATAGAAGTGTAGGAAGGGGGGGGGTGGCAGCCACTAAAGCTCAAGTCAGCATTTGACAGTTTTGGCTAGAGAGAGGTGTTGCAACAACACGCCGGTGTCGGAGCATGCGTTTATTAGTCGCTCTGCTGTGCGTTATGAAAGGTGAGCTGTTAATGGGAAGAAAAGGTGTTGCATGGTGCTGGAGATGGAGAGAGGAGGGGGTTGCATGGCCGCATGGCGCAGCTCCAGAGATGGAAAGGAGAGGCCGGGGAATGGAAATCGATACAGATTCAGGGCTCGCCAGATCGGCCTTAACAATGTGGCGCAGACGCACTCTACATCCCGATCACATACATACAGGAGGGAAGAAACGAGGAGGCGACACGTATGCAGGCTGCTGCTGCTGCTGCTGCTGCTATGATGCTGTCCTGTGTTATGCAGCCATGCATCTGTGGATAAGAAATGGGGTAGACAACAACATGCACGAGATGGAAATTTCAAGCTCCCCTTCACCCATAGGAAGATTTCTGTCATTCTCAAACATGAGGATTTAAATTTAGGTTGAATCAATTGAGTTTTGTCTAGCACATACAAGCAGCCTCCTCATGCCTGGCTCCAGATAATGATGCAAGGCGCGAGATGTCATTTCATGTGGAATGAGCAACACTGAAGCCGGGATTTAAGCAAAATAGCCTCGAGGTATAACCTCAAGAAAATGACTGTTGCTCTCCCACCAGGGGATTGCAAAGGCGATGCTTGTACATGCGTGTCTCAGTACTTACAGCACACGTTGCTGTGCTTAACGAACAACGAGGCTCTGAAACCACAGCTGCACTGTTTACTCCCCTATCTTCCCCTCATCCATCAATTATTAAAGTACCAATCGATCATTTCGCAGGCCAACATCAAGCCATCTCTTCGTGAAAAAAAAAAAGAAAAATCCTGCATCAATCACATCTTAAAGCTCCATCCAATTAAACCCATTATCCTGGCTTAAGTGACCAACAAAATAAAAAATAAATAAAAAAAGAGGAAAGAGCGCCACTCCTGACAAAATTTTAAGGATGTTTTGATGAGCATCCCCCACCCTAAAAAATAAATAAACACGACCTCCAGTTTTGTGTGTGTGTGATTCAAATGGAAACCCCTGGTGGGCTTCGTGCTGGACTGGAAAGTAGGATGCAGGATGGTGTGATTGACGCGATTGTGGATTGTAATATTGATCGATGGGTGGAAGCTGTTGGATGAAATAATGGTGTTTAGAGCCTACAAGAATGCTATTAAGTATGTATTGGTAAAACTCCAGTTCACCACCTTGAACTGTCCTCAAAACACAAAGATCCTGCAGTTCGGTGTGGATGTTTTCAGCACTCTGGACAGCGCCTTCACAGCAACAAAGCTGACCTGCAAGGAAAATGGGCTAACTTGACAGGCTTGGTTTTGACTCACACCAAACGCTTTGTAGAGACAAATAAAGAAAAAAAAAATTACAAGCATGTTTGTGTAGCATGCACACCAATATAGGCCAATTTCATTTGGAGATGGGCGCCATTTTTGCCAACTTTCCTTTAAAGTATTCTAAATTTAGCGAGCAAAAGCCTGCGTTTATGTCACAATTATGATCCACTCCTGAAAAATGAAGGCTCAGAATGTAAAAAAATACTTCATAAAGATATAATTACCAAAGGAAAATGGATAAAATGGATGACGCACGGTGCGGAGGGAGGGGGGGAAAGGGTGCAGTGTGACTATGGATGGGGGGTGGGGGAGCGAGTATTGCTCCAGGATTAGGCCTGTGTAAACTGCGTGTAGTCCATTGAAACATGAATAGAGGCCTCCCACCCTCATTCTCAACAATGTTTTCCTCCGTGTCCTGTGGGTCTTGACCTGCACACCCTGGCACGTGCTCCGGCCATTCAGATGGTAATGAACCGACTGCGCTTTTCTTTTGGAAAGACCTTGGCATGCCATGGCACCACATCACTGTCAAATATCTATTTTTTAAAAAGAAAGGGCATAGAAGCAGGGATCTGGTGCTACGATGATTAAAATGAATGTGGGCCATTTATTTTTGGTGATAATATTGACTGTTTGAGTCGTGCGCGCTACCTGGATGCAACCAAACCTCAAAGAGCACATCCATGAGCGCACAACAAATGGAAAGGCTGTGCAGTAGCGTCGTTCTCTCTCTCTGTCTCTTATATATATACACACACATATATATATATATATACACTTTTTTTTTTTTAACAACAGCTGTCCCCTTTCCCAACCTTTTCCAGCTCCCGCCTTCCTCCCCCTCCTCTGCTCCAGGGGAGAGACCAATGGGAGAGAGTGCTGAGGCGGGATAATTGATAGATGCACTGGCTATCCTTATCGATCAGGGCTGTATTGACCCGACCAAATACATTGAGATGGAGTGTGGAATTCAACACAGATGCAAAGACGAATTGTTTTCATCGTTAATGCGATCTTTAAATGCCTCCCAAACCTCACCTTGCCCGCGTCTCTCTGTGACTTGTGCAGCTTTGCAACGAAGCCGCCTGTTTATGCAGCAGATGTCCAATAAATGCACTCTGAGGTGCTCAGAATATGTATTTTGATTTTAAAAGCGCGCTCCTGTTTGCTTGGTCTGCATATGAGCAGCACAATAGCTGGGAAAGCCTGTGTGTCTTCGCCTCTGGTTGCATTGGGAGATGTTAAGCGTGAAGGACACACATTCCTCCCCCCCTCCACCTCCACCACCACCACCACCACCACCAAACAGGCCTTTCTCTGCTCTGTTTTTCCTTTCAGGACCGGATTGTCATGTGTGTGTGCAGACACTGGCATTTTCGCATTAGCTAAGCAGGGCAGCTGCATTGATTTGTGTGACTGTGATGAATTTGGAATAGTAATTTGAATTTATTGATTGATGTGGCCGAGCGAGTATGGCCCAGCCTCACTTTCAGCATCACAACCCCCCCTCTAACCACCACCACCAACTCCTAGCCCACATGCGCACCGAGGATAATTGTGATTTTAAATGCAATAAGTAAAATGTTGCTCCCTGCATTTACATACAAGCCATTTGTCATTTTGCCCAACTGGAATTTCCCTGAGATCTACCGTGGCAGCAGGTTAACGCACAAAAGGCTAACGTGTGCTGTTTGCAGGAAGAAAGGTATAGAAATGTACAATAAAATGTACTTTAAAATGAAATAATTAACAACGCCCATCGCTACTGGATCAAATTATGGTTAAAGAGCAGCTTTTGTTTTAAATCTGCAACCCTATAAATGTGAAAAATGTGCACACACACACACCTCTTACACCTCTAGGCTGTCCTGGGCCTGACCACATTAAAATATGCAGGAGGTGTACGCTGCACAGCCCTGTGCCACTCCAACACGACGGTTGAATTGGGTTTTTTTTTATTTTTTTTATCCTGGTGCCGGTGTGGAAGATATAAAACCCCACAGCCCAATTAGCTTTAACAGCAGTGGCACTTAAAGAGACAATTGTGGAGTGTTTAAATCTTTATTTACCAGAACCCCACTAAATACGCAAAGGAACAATTTACATGCCATTAAGTGCTTTTCAATAGGGCATTGACTGGAACTAAAATATGCCACTATATCTGCTTAATTGAACTGTTCACTGAAATACGACACAGAAGCAGCTGATTGACGTTTGGAAGCGCAGCACGTCTAAACAGGGCCTTTACACAAACATCAATGAGAGGGGACCTCTCATTCACATCTCTGTTTTAACCCCACTGCTACGTTTTCATTTATGTCCTGTTAATCAGGTTGTAGGTGTTAAAGGGTTTAAAAGGGGGGCGGGGATGCGGGTTCAAATCACAGCTTTTAATGCGATCATCTTTGCGCAATAAAAATCGAGAGGATGGATCAAAGAGAGGAAACATTCCGGGAACCAGCACAGAGCGGGTTTGTGCCACAGTTCGTGTATATATATATTCCCAGTGTGTTATGAGCGGTCTTCAAGAATAGCACATATAACTTCACAAACCACAATCAGCAATTTCTCAGCTCCAGCGTGACCAAAACAGGCCTTAAATCAAATTTGGAGACGAGGTGTCCCAGAGTGCAGCCGACACAACGCAGACCAGAGAAAGACGCATCTGTTTGCGTCTCTGTCTTTCAGATCCAAATCGATCATTTATCAGTGCGCCTCTCTGAAAGGGGACGCCTGGACCTGAAATATTGATCCATAGGAGGTCATGCTCCCCTCGACTCTTTGGCGAGGCCTGAGACGATCCTTGTTTGCCTCGAAATTTGACAGAGGAAGTATTAAATCAAGTTTGTTTGCTAAATGCAAAACTGGGTGTTTGAGCTGCACCGATGCCAAAGTGCGGCTCTGTTTTTACCTTTAAAGTCATAGCTGCGAGATGTAATCAATGTCACATCCTGCTTTGATTTCCTTTGTTTGGCCTCTTTGCTTGTGTGTGTGTGTTAGTGTGTTAGTGCGTGCGTGCGTGTGTGTGTGTGTGTGTGTGTATGTGTGTGTGTGTGTGTGTGTGTGTGTGTGTGTGTGTGTGTGTGTGTGTGTGTGTTATTAAGAGGAAGATGGGGAAAGAGAGGCAGAGAAACGGAGGGAAAGCAGGACAGGGATGAATGTATTCATACTGTATCTATGCGTAAAAGTGCTACATGTGCGTAAAACCGAACATGTCTGAGCAGGCTGCCTCTGCACCTGGTCCACTTCTGAGAGTCGCCTCTTCTCTTTTGTTTATCACACCTCGAGTGTTGCACAGAGTCTGTTTATATCGTGGATTGTAGCATCAATCAAAATATAGATTTCCCCCAACATTTAACACCCCAACTGTCATGATGAAGTTTTACTCGATAAAATCGACTAATAACTTCTAGTAATGTCTGTTTGAGCAGCTATTGACAGTCTCGCCACATTGACTTCTAATTGATCCCTCCACATCACTCAGGTTGGGAGCTGTCTCCTCACTCACCTGCAAGCCTGAGCGCCGACATCCGCTGGAACTCGGGCTCCTGGAGCCACTTCCACATCCTCCTGAACGTCTCCCGGCCAGACTTGAGTTTACTCCACGGTTTAGGATTCCGCAGCAGGTCAGACAGAGTTCCCTGGGACCGGCACAAGATCCTCTGAGCAAAGATGGCCTGGGGGATGCTGTAGCGCTTGAGCTCTGCCGTTATTCGCTGTGCCACCTCCTTGGTGTTTATCTCCTCCACCTGCCCTGACCCAGCTCCCTGCCCGCCTCCCACCACCGTCTGCCTGTCCCGGTCCGACAGCATGGAACCGTTTGCCTGAGAGTGCGGATGGCTGTGATGGTGGATGCCGTTCAAGGATGTCATGAGCCCGGCCCCGTGGCCCCCGAGACCACGGGCCAGGTGATCCTCGCCTCGGGACAGCATGGCTGCGTGAGACTCGAAGCCCCCCGAAGAGAGCATCTTGTCGTTGGAGAGGTGAGCTCCGGGACCGTAGGCGCTGAGAGTCTGCTGGGAGCTGTGCAAAGACCCGAGACCGTTGGACAGCGGGGACAGGGGCTGCCCCATGCCGGACATGTCTTTGGGGTAGTGGCCGTAGAGGTTACTCATAGAGGCGAGGCTTCGGTCGTCCCTCATCAGGGTGAAGCTGCCGCTGACGTTCCCAGCTGCGAGTCTCTGGTGCGCCGGATGATGGTGAGCATGTGGGTGTGGATGGTGAAATTTCTCCGAGACGGTGGATATGGGGGGCAGGTGCTGCAGCGGCGTCAGCGTGGTGTAGGTGCTGCTCAGGCTCATCCCGGAGTCGCACGACATGGTCATTGCCGGGTGCAGGGGGCCAGACAAAGCGTGGTCTGTGCGGTAGTCCCCTGCTCCCTCCAGTATCGAGGCCATGCTGGACACCATGGCTGACCGTCCGTGCGACACCAAGTTCCGATGCGACGCCGACGACTGGCGCGCGTGTGGGGAGTTCATTAAGTCGCTCGTTTGATGGGAGTGAGATACACCGTGCAGATTTCCGATGTTTTCCATTGTAAGCTCCATCGTTGAAAGGATCTTTATTTCCACCCCTCTCGCCACTCTCTCGCTCTCTCCCTCGCTTCTCTCCCTCTCTCTCCCACTGTCGCTCTATCTCACACTCCTTTCCAATAAATTTTGAACGATTTCAAAGCCAAGCCATTGATTGTAGTTGCCTCTCTGCAGTCAATCCAGCATGGTTTTAAAAGATCGGGTCCCGGCCGCCACACAAACTGCGCCGCAAAAAACCTCTGCTCAGTGTGCGAAGGTGTCTGCGCCTGCCTGGATTTCTCTCGCTGTTGAGCACCTTCTACTATACCCAAAGCGCCGCTCCGCTCTCTGTGTGTATATTGACGTGCCCGCGCTCATGTCGAGAGGAGACCGAGCCTGTGCGCATGTGCGCGCCCCCGCGGTGGATCCTCGCGCTCGCGCACTCTGTCTGGGGCCAATCTGACGTCACTGGCCCCCGTGTCATGGGGTTGTTCGTGTTGCAAACTGAACCTCAGATAGCTGGAAAAGATTGCATTAGACAGTTCAGATAAAAACACAGAAGTGCGCTCCTCTGCAACATTTACACTCAGATGGATAAGAAGGACTCGCTCCTTGTTTTCTCTGATAAAAACCTTTTGACACGGCGCCAGCAACACATGTGATGCCTCCGTTGAAGGTTAAATATTAACCGTCTTGTGTCACACCAGGCCACGAGTGTAATGAGAAAATCATAATTTATCTTCCAGAGGAGGTCATAGTTTAGTTGCTTATTTTTCTACAAACTGAGGATGCGTAATTTCTGGATGCATAAAAGAACTACATCTGTGCGTAAAATAACCGCTTCTTTAAGAGGTTAAAACGCGAGAATTGAAGCTTCAGATCATGTTTGTGACCTTTGACACGCCTCATTTCTAACCAGAAATTACATTTGCATGCATTTTCTGAAGCCGAGAAGGTAAACGATCAAATGTTTCTTCCCAGTGTTGTTGCTGTTAAGCTGGCACTTATAACTTTAGATTTTTTTTTTTTTACAAGTTATTCTTTTTTTTTTTTTTCCTTTAACAAATGTTACTGAATAAATCCGTCGAGTTTTATTTCATCATAGCCTCTAGGCTTTGACCCCTTTCGCATCTTTGCTCTTCGGATTCAGGCCACGAAAATCAAACTCGCCGCTCATATAAACTCTCACAATAATGTTTCATGCCTTTGCAAACTTCTACATGCAACTTTGCTGCTCGCTGATGTCAGTCCAGTTCAGCAATCCATCAATGTCAAAGTATGTATGGATCAGGAGATGCATCGATAGGTTGGTGCCTATTGCAGGAGCCCGCAGTATGGATGCGATATAGTGGCACGTTGAAATCGAGGGATTGGATTCTATAAAAGAGAGAAGAAGGAAAAAATGGAAAAATTGGGGTTAAGGAATAAGGCATTTCGCGAGTGTATAAAACTTCACCGAAGTTGTCGAAATAGTTTCTCACAGTATTCCAATACTCCAATATTTAGCTTTTGATTTAGTGGGACAGTGTGTGCGTAAAGTTGGAAGGTTATTAGGGTGCACAAAAATTATCCCAATTAAATCAACATATAAAGTCACAAAAGGACAATGGTGTTATTTTATACATTTGCAGGCTGTGTAGGTGTGTCTATAGGGTGAAATGTGGCGAGAAAACTGTAAAAATGCCAACAGCAACACCTCCGTGACATGTTTAGACCGGTTCCAACACGCTGTGGAGTGTGTGTGTAGTGTGTGTGTGTCTCTGTGTGTGTGTTGCCAACGATAACCAGCAGCCCTGTGTACGTCGTTAGTTGCTCTGTAAACTATGTGACCAAGTGAGAAGTCCTTGGCATTTACACCGATGTCATGTAAAATGAGCCCATTAGGATTTCGACCCGGAGCTGCATGGGGAGGGAGAAAAAATAGTCTAACAATCCAAGAAGTGGCATCACTAATCCTTTTGCAAATTGCGTAAAATAATTTCCCCTGACCAGTGTTTACCAACTGTTAGGTCACAACCATCCATAACTCCACTGATGAATTGTGATATCAGCATCCTTGGCACCACAGCTTCCTCTCTTCCCTCCTCCTCCAAAAGAATGACCCTTTAAAAAAAAGTGTGTCTTTTGCTGATTGCCAACGGAGGATGGTGGCTTTTTGGCTTGTGCCATCAGGAGAACAGCAGTGTCCGCTTGGGTTAATGTCCCTGTATTGATCCCAGCAACCACTGCTATCGAAAATGAATTACCGAAGCCCGCACAGCAGCGAATCCGTCATCTGTGCTCAGCCAGCCGGCCAGAGCAGCTTATTGGTCGCGGTGGTGATGGATGTTAACTTTCATTGCTGGCTCCTTGCTCCTAATTCACCAGGGTTTACAACCCAAAACAGCGCGCTGAAAAGTTTTATACTTTCACCCAGAACTTGTAAACTTCATAACGCATCTCTGCCTCTCTGCCTTTTTTAGTTTTTTTTTTATTTTCAGCATATTTTTATTGGGCTCCATGAGAGGTCATGTTACCTGATTTTCAAACAAAAGCCCCATCCAGGCCTACCACAGCCGGGTCAACAAGGCGTGGGGACCTGATCAGAGCACTTTCCCCATTTTCAATCAATGTTGTTTTCCTCTATTTTATGCGGCTTGGTCAAATCGTTCATGGCGAGCCAAAATAAAATTTGAATGCAAAGTAAACCCAGTCATCCCCTCCCCAAAAAATCTATGTATCCGCCTAGAGCTCAGTTTTAATTTGTATTTTAATGTACTGTTTTCGAATACTTAAATAAGCATATCCTATGGCAAATACAATATGAAATATTAACTGTGTCAATATCTGCGGTGTGACTGGGGCGATGCCGCAGAGACCCAGTGATTTATTTCATATTAATAATAGCGGGCGAGGCGGTGGCCTCAGCACCACGTTGGCATCGACTTTACGCACACGCACTAATACACACACACACACACACACACACACACGCTGCAGTGATTGTGCAGCAGTTTTTGTGTTCTAATTTCCTTGTTGATCACATCCTATTCCCAAAAAATATTTTCTAAAACTTTTTCATAAAAAACAACAACAACAAAAAACAAAGAGGAAAAAGTTTGAAACTCTCTCCAGCTCACCACTGGAGTCTTTAATGAGGCCCAGAGCATTTGTTTTTTATCTTTAAGCACTGCTGTCGTTTGCTGATCAACTAATCAATGCTGAACCTGGAGCCACGCTCAATGTATTTCTGAAGGATCGATAGTGCCCAAAAAAAAAAAAATGCACTCCGCTAAAATGGCTTAAGTTAGGTCTATCCTGTTATGTGTTTGACCTGTTTCAACAGGCATTTTCATTACTGGAAACGACCATACAGTTTAAGCTGAGCTTTTCATTTGGCTGAGTGCTGGAGGAAGACTGCAGGAACTGTGAGCACCGCTTCTGCTGCTGCATTCAATGTATATTTTCCTTTAGCACATTTTGTGTCGTTGTTATGATGAATATTAGTATTATTAATGTTATTATTATTGGTGTTGCTGTGTGGAAATTCATATTTTTAAGAATTATTTGAACCCAGTAAAACCCCCCTTTTTCTGCTTCATGATTTTACGCACGAACTCATGGCGCCCAGAATTGAATTTTTGTCCTCCCTCAAAACTTGATTTTTAATTTTTGAAAATAATATATTTAATTCTGCCACCCTCTCCTAATGAGCGGGTTTCTCTGCTGGGCCAGCTCTCCTGTAAGCTTGTCTATTTTCCCAGGAATCACTCGATAGAGACAGACTAATCTTTTCATGACTTCTTGAATGACTCCGTGGCTGATGCATCACGCTTAATGTATTCTAAAGTATATTTACTTGAATCTGGCTATTGGCAAAAGTTAAGTAGCAGTGTTTAGTAATGTCGCATTGATCAGGCCTCTGAGCAAGTCAGCGGGACGGGGCGCTGCTGCTGCTGCTGCTGCTGCTGCTGCTGCTGCTCTCCTCATCCCAATCCACACACACTGTGGCCTTCTGGAGACAAAAACTCACAACATCTGCCTTGTTTGCCTATGGCTCTACTTTAAGTAAGTGTGTGTGTGTGTGTGTGTTGGAGAGATTTGCATGACTAAAGGGCTCCAGAATCTATAAATATGCTCACAAAGATTTCACATAAATTGCAAAAAGACTGAAATTATTCACCATATTTGGCAAATTACGCACGAGCCATTTGTTCTCTCCGTTTTATATTTTTGCACAAATATTCTACATTGAATCCAGTTTTTTTTGCAGCCACACAGACCTTTAAGTTATTTCCTCGCCTTGTGCAAAGTTCCCAAAGTCCAAATCAATGTCGCCTTGCATTTTGAATGTTGCATATTTGTCCTGTTAAATGTTTAAACGGCAGCCTACTGTTCAACGCTTTGTTTCACAGCCAGAGAGCTGTGCAGCCAAATTTAACAAACGTTCATTTTATTTTATTTTTTTAAAAGAGAGAGAGAGAAATAAGAAGAATCACTTGCACATTAAATCGCTGTGTTTGTAAAGCGTTTGGCTGCAGTTTGTTAAGGAATTAGTGTGTTGCCATAGATTATTATTTAGGTACATTTGCATTTGAAAGCGCCCAGCAATAGAGGACCATACTGATCAATAGCCCTGGTGCCATATCGATCTATCCGCAGTCTGATCGATTGACAGAAAGAATTGGACGCACATTTCTCCTCTGCTCTTGGTTTCACTCAAAAAAAAAAGAAAGAAAGAAGAGAAAATCATCTTATTTAGAAAAAAAACACACGCTGGAACACAAGTAGGCCCTGAAAATATTTAGGACAACAGGTGCCAAAGCAGGCCTGGCATGCCAGCCCGAAGACCAATCAATAATCAATACGGTAGGATGCTTTTTGAAATATATATTTATATTTTAGCATTAATTTAATTTAGCCTTATTACATGACGCAAGCTTTTGAAGGAAATTAATCTAAAGCAACTGTGTGTCTGCATTTGGAAAAAGGAGGGGGACAAGCACAACAAGAAAATAAAATAGAGATCATGGATGTTTTCTAGGTTTAATGTCTTC